TCTCTTCATCAGCCTGCAGTTATGCTGAGTCTGAAGAGGCTCCGGCTAGCATCAGACCTGAGTTGGCATGCTTTCTTGATATACAATTATTCATGATATAAACTTCTTCCCCATACATGGATGAGTGTCACATTGGTTTTGTTTCTCTAGACAACCCTGCCTAAGAGAGTTGTGATTAATTTTCTTTTTGTAAAAGTGCAAGTAACACATTTGCCAACTTAACATTTTTCGTGTGTATCGTTTAGTGAGGTCAATTGCATTAACCATATGATCCAACCATCAATGACGATGTTCCAGCCCAATAGTAAAAAATTCAGCACCCTCCTAAAGAATAACTCCAGGAATGTTTCTCAAGGTTATCTTCAAATAAAATAAATATGTAGATAGATGTTGGATAACCTAATAGCATGTCTACATAGCAGACATTATTTTGAGCGTGGCTCCCAGAGGTAGGGCTGGCAGCAATATGTACAGATACTACTTGGTTGTGTTTTCATGGTATAATGACTTGGACCAATAGTAAAAAAAAGTCTGATTTAAGCTTGTTCAATGAGATTTTTCTTCTGAGTGCAGGGGGAGCTAAGAACGAAGCAGGTAGGGAGAGAAGCTGTGAGATAAAGAGAGGCCTGGATATTTTCTGCTTCTGGATAAGCGCTTTCTAAGGCATGACTGGTTGTTCAGTGGCAGAATTCTCAGCTTCCATGCAGAAGACGCAGGTTAATTGGTAACCAATGCATCTCATAACCAAGCACCAGCCATCTGTGAGTGGAGGCTTGTGTGTTACAGTGATGCTGAGCAAGTGTGGCTGCCAGACTAAGACAGACCAGGAAGAAAGGTTGAACATGTAGCTGTTTTTTTAATCAATCAAACAATGAACTATCCCACAGAACAATCCCAGTCTGCATTGGATCACGGGGATGTGGCAAGACCAGGAAACACTTAGTTCTGTTGTCCATGAAGTGGGAAAGAGTACGGGACTAAACTTGAGAGCAGCAACAACAACAACGACACCAAACTGTCCCCCTGCCCGAGGAGTCTCTGAACTCCCACAGATCTTCAGAATGAATTAGCACTCTCTTTCTTTCTCTTTGCAGCTAGCTTTACTTCGTTTCTGGAATTTATAATTGAAGCTTTATCGATCATGCACTTTGCTTTCATATTTATGTTTTTTTCATATCTGTCTCACATTCCCCACATATGATGACATCCTAACAGATAGGCTACTGTGTCTACAGTAAATGTTTTATGGCCCTAAGGATTGCATGTGCATAGTAATGAATTTCTACCCAACTTCAAGATTTACCACACACACAAAAGGAGGAAACTCATAAATTTCCTTGAGTTACTGCCCCAAATCCTCCAGTCAGTTTAATTAGATACTCAAGTCGTTTTAGAACTGGACTTGATTGTAAGTTAAACCCGGAGAATGCTCTTCAACCTGTGGTGAAAGGTCCCGATGATTTCTGGTTTTACGGCTATTCCCGGCACACATCTCACGGAGCCATTTACAGCCCCAGAAAGGATCATTTTGACATAACATGGCTTGCAAGTCTCAATTCTGGTTCCCTTCCTACCATTCCTACTTAATCTGCTTCCTTCCTTTCTCTCTTTGTGCTTCTGAAACCAACTCTTTATGAGAGTGGAAAACCTTGTCTTTCTCTTATGGGGTGGATGGTGACTCTGAATTGCTGACCATGCTGTTCCTGGCCCAACTAACACCCACCATGCTGTCAGGGCTCTGTTTGTCGCACATGTCAAGCACCCCACTTCAGGATGAACTGTTCCATGGCTGCCAAAAGCACCAACAAATCTGTCTTGGAAGAAGTGCAACCAAAACACTCCTCAGAGGCAAGGGTGGCAAGACTTCACTGCATGTTGCCCCATGTACTTCGGACATTTCAGGAGAGAGCAGTCCCTGGAGAATGACATCATGCTTGATAAAGTAGCAGGGGCGAGAAAAAGAGCAAGGCCTTCAATGAGATGGACTGACACCGTGCCTGCATCCATGGGCTCCAACATAAGCGCAATCGTGAGGATGGCGCAGGGCCCGGCAGGGCTTCCTGCGGGTGTACATAGGGTTGCTATGAGTAGGAACCGACTCGATGGCACCTAACAGCCACAGCAATCTTTAGCTCAAGCCTACCTGTTTATGTATTTGCAATAGACTTAAAATGTACGCAAGCAACCTCAAACTCAGATAACAGAAAAGGAAAAAGGCAAATCCGTTGCCCTTGCATCAATTCTGACTCATGATGATACACTGTGTGGCTGCTCTGTCGGGCATTCTTGGCTGGAATCTTCATGGAAACCTTTCTCTTGGGCTTTTGGCATGGTGCTGCTGAGCATATTCCAGCCACCAACCATCTGGAGAGTAACTGAGCACAGATCAATCGATGCTAACCAGCCCTTAAGTATAGAGGAGGGGCACTGGGAGAGTAGTGGGTACACATGGAGCTGCTAACTCCAAGGTCAGCCACTGGAGACCACGAGCAGACTCAGGCAGAAAGATGAGACTTTCTACTCCTATAACGAGTTACAGTTCCAGAAACCCAAAGGAGCAATTCTACCCTGTCCTATAGGGTTGCTATGAGTCGGGACCAACTCAACAGCAGTGCGTTTGGGTTTCGTGCAGAGGAGGATTGCTCAAGAGAGTTTTCAAGGCTCTCCTTCAGGGAGCACGTTGACTCTTGAGGCACCTCTGGGCATGTTCAATCTGCCAATCTTTTGGCTGGAGCCAAGTCCTTAATGGTGTAGGCCACTCAGGGACTCCTAAACAGATTCTCAGTACTGTAGTAAATTGAGACAGACATCACTAACCAAGAAACACTGACCCTGGCTCAGAATGGAAATGGGTGACTGCTTTATTCTTTTCCTTTTGCATGCGGTGCTTTCCACATTTTCAACAGCAATTCACCGAGTACTCACTGTGGCAAAGTACTGAGCTTCTCAGAGAGACCTGAGCACAGGCAATGATGGGTTTCAAATGCTTTCAGTTTACTGTGAACATACTTGGAGGCCAACAGTCACCCTGTCTCTTGTCCTTTGGACAGGGGGGTGGAGGCCAGCCCTCTGAGCAGGGTCCTCCCCTCTCTAGTGAGTAGAACTGAGCACGTGCCCATCAGGCCACAGCCTAAGAGAGAAGGCCCTTGTGATGGCTGCAGACTTCGTGACTTTGGCCATTACAGAAAGAGAAGTGCCAGGAAAGAGAAAAGAAGATGGTGGTGGCGACCCTAAGGGGTCACACCTATAGAGAAGGGGAATCTCGGTGTTGTCTGCCAGGGGAGGGCCAGCACTAGAACATTCGAGAACCCAGCTCAGAGAGGGGGATCTTTGGAGCACCAGCAGAATGCCTCAGGACGTAGATGTTCTCATCGCTGTGGTTCTCGTTCTTGTCCATGTTCCTACCTTGAGAGCGTGTAGAACTTACCCACTAAGCTTTAGAAGAAGCCTGGTGACACTGTCGAAGGCAACTAAGATATTAGAGTTGCATACCACAGTGAGAGCTAGGGTAACTCCCTTAACATCTAGGGAATCAAGTTGCCTAGTTTGTGAAAAAGAAGAAAACAATGGTTTATTTTGGGTGCCTTGGTTTTCTGGTACCTCTGTGACACAAATATCACAAT